TTTTTTTTTTTTTTTTGCAACTCATATAGGAACTCCAACAGGAAACGAGCAACTTACAACATCAACTCCAAATGGCTGAGCAACAATTAAGGTACTCGTTTGGTCCTTTTTTTTTTTTTGTGGTTACCGAGTATAATTTGTTAAGAATCTTGATGTACTATTAGATACAATTTTTGTTTTTTAAAAAAAGAAGTGTGACATTTTAACTTAAACCTCATTCGTTTTACTCGTTTTAATTAAGAACTTAAATTAAAAAGTAAATTTTTTTTATGCGTGAGAAAAATACTGTAACATACTTTTAATTTGAGTAATTCTCGTATACTGTTTAAGGATTTTTGAGCCGGATCCTCAGTCCTTTTCCTCAATTGAGGAGCTTGAATCATGTGAGAACAACATTTTGGCAACTTTGACACGTGTCGCAGAAAGAAAGGTAAAGAACATTCACTTCTGTATCATTTGTTGTATTAAACTAATTGTGTTCAACTGTAATCAGTGGATTCGATTTTGTTTTTGTTTTTATATGGGGTGGAGCTTATTTCTCTCACTTTATTCAAGAAATAAAACTACCAAAATTAAAATCTTAATAGTGGCCTAATCTCTCTTTTTTTTTTTTTTTAATTATTTTATGTAACGATTGAGCGGCAATATCATTTTCAATAAATAAAAGATATGCAAATTGGTCTATAAAGAGATTATTTAGTACGCTGTATGGCCCAATTTGCCACTCGGCGAGGGCCTCACCTGGTCCGTTTGCTTTGGGCCAGGTTGGGCTGCGAATAGGATCTTGACCAACTTTGGACCAGAAAATCTAGAGAAATGCCCAGTGAGAGTTTATATTTGTTGGTCCATTTTTAGCTGTCTCGCCAGTACCATTTTGGCAACTTATCTAACTGTTGAGTAGTTTTAGTAATTAGTATTATAATGTGACCAAATTTTTAAAATTAAATGATATTGAAAAATAATATTGAACGGATAACCAATAGAACAAGAAATTCGGGACAACATATTGTAGTAAGGGATATATATTGATTTGAGTCTCATTTCTTAAATGCTATAAGATTTATGTACTTTATTTGTTACAATTTCTCTTTTATATAATGAGTTTATGTTCACTCAACTCTTCTACTTCTTTGTTTCTGTTTGTAGAAAGATTTATTAAGCAACCACTTTTCAGCTTATGATCCAACAAGTGTTCAGGTAATCAGCAACAACAACAAAATATATATATATATATATTTCAGGCAAAAGAAAATACTATTGAAAAAAGTACATATAAAAATATTAAAATAATTGTATGGGAAATGCAGATATACTTTGAAGCACAAGAAGGGGTTCCAACCTCTTTTGAGAATGAAGTTGCAGCTAGCTGGTTGCCTACAGATAACGTACAAAATCCGACCCAAATTTGTGTCGGATCCGAACCATCTTGTCTCCGCCCGTCCTCGAGGTATGAAATTACATCTGTACCCTTCAAGAGAAAATTGATGTTCGTCTATAGTACAAAACAATTTGTTACGACATGTGGTATTAAAATATCAAACATTTGTATTGTGTGGACTTTTAATTCCAGGGGTGAATCCGGCGCGATGTTTGAAATTCCCATGTCTCACGGGACTGATGTAAATGTGGATCCTTTCGGCATAGGATTAGGAGGGTGCCAAATTGGGCATGAGACAAGTGAGGGATTACCTTCTTGGCATCACAACTGTACCACAACTGATCAACTCCTCTCAGCTTTCATGTCTCCTAATTCCTCATTGTGCACTACTCCAATTAATAATAAGGTACACATTTACTAATTTCTAATTAGCGATTTACTATTTCAACCATCAAAATGAATTCAAATTTAGTTAACAAAAAAAAAAAAAAACCATTTTATATGGCTAGTTTTGGTAATTGATTTTGTTCCTTATATG